TATCAATTTATACTTTAACATTTTGATAATTTGATAATTTTGTTATAATATATCTTTTCATTAGACTACTCAATGATTACACACTTTGGTATTTCTGTATCTGGAAAAGGTAAACACAATATTTAATTTACAGCACGTAAGCTTGTCCTAAAACGGTTCAAGTCGCAATATACATGCATACGTTATATATATATACAATACACTTCTGTACAAAACAGGCCGATACGCAATTTGGAAATTATTGATAAATCGTTCTTTCAGTTGGCCAGCTTGGAACGTTTGCTACTGTCGCGCAGCTCCTCCACGTCGCGGGCAATGGACACACAGCCGTCGGTGAGCAGTTCCACATCGTGATTGTCTTTGATGTGAACACAATCGTTGAGGATGCAGACGAGGCCACGGAATTCCGGATAGGCTTGCAGACAGTCACTCGGTATAACGACCGACAGCTGCAGCGAGATGACGTTGCCGGGCATCAGCTTATAGTTGAGCATTTGGTCCTGATTGATCTCGCAGTCCAGGCCCACATGCTTGATGAGCGTGGAGAAGCAAGTGAAACGAGTTACGGACTTGTAGCTGCCCGGCCGACGCATCAGGTTGTCCGGCAGCACACGCATCTTCTGCAGATGAGCTGCCAGCAGGATGAGGAAGGTGGCGTGCAGTTCCCGGGGTGTGCGCACAATGCTCCTCTTGTTGCTCATCAGCAGGCACAGCTTGGAGCGGATCTCGAGCAGCATGTTGTAGAGCACCTTCTGCGGTGGCGAGAAGCGTCCTAGGATGGGCCAGTATCTGGCCAAGCCCCCGTGGTAGCCCGCGTATTGACAGGCTCCGTCCATTAGCCACACATTGCCCAGGCCGGCCGTCAGCTTCGGTGCATAGGGCAGCTCCTGGTAGGCGTAGCGCTGGCGACACTTCTCATCGAAGAGCAAACCAATTTCGTGTTTGCCCTGGTAGGCCTCATGCTCCATAATCACCTCCTGCATCGATTCGGAAGCTATCCAGTTGGCCCGCCGTATGGCAGTCAGCTCCCGCTTCGTTTTAACGCTGCGCACGCACTGCATCATGTGGCGGGGACAATCGATGTTCAGCTTGAGGTCGTAGGCCAGCTCCTTGACAATCTGAGTCAATCGACTCGCATCCTTGGTGTACCACAATTTGGCGCTAATATTGTGAAGCTTGCGGTACAACGTCTCCTTGAAGGCCGACATCGGCAGCACCTTGTCCACATTGAAGCGCTGGCAGGCGTATGTCGTCAGCGTAGGATCTATATACTCTCGCTCCTCCGGCTGGAAGAGTATTGCGCGCAGCTCCATCAGGCGATTACGCAGCAGCACGAGCACCATGTCGGGCAGCAGGCAATCGCAGAGATAGGCGAATTCGGCCAGCTGTCGAACCGGCTGACCATAAATGGATCTGACGCCCGCTACGATCAGGGCATGGGTGTTGCCACGCCTGCGCTCCGAATGGCTCAGTCTGTCCATGACGGCCCAGCGATGATGGGCGACCTCCTTTGATATCATCACCTCTACACGATTCGGATCGTCTTTCGTATAGTCGCCAGTTCGCCATTTGATCGGGGGCTGGCGTTGCCGCAGCTCAGCCACCGAAAGCGGATTCATCATCTTAGCGAATTCCGAATCTTCCACGCTGGCGGGCTCTAGCGGCGGAGCTGGAGCTGGGGCAGGTGCTGGTGCAGGGGCCAAGATAGGAGCTGGTTCCGGTGCAGGCACGGGAGCCGGAGCCGGCACCGGCGGAGGCGCCGATTGCATAAGTTCGCAAATTTTTTCATTACAAAGTTGACTCTGCGGCAACAAAAAATTGACCCAGGGTCGGAAACCTTTCAATTTTGGCAATACACGGAACATGATTTATAAAAATAAAATATAATAATAAATAATCTTAATATAAATATATCAACTTTTTAAAATTTTTACATTGAATGAATTCAAATGACAAGAAAATCTAAACTAATTTGTATGGACGGAAGTTGTATTGCTACCAAGCAGGCTTTGCAGGGGTATGCTCGACTATACGAATACCCTATCGAGGTGAGCGAGCCTTTGATATCCTATCTATTCTCCTTCTAACCCCCTATACAGGTCTTTACAGGTGGCGAAGCTAGGTGGGCTTATGAGCTAGCTCGACTAGCCGGACATCCTATACAATAATTAACAACAACAAGTTTCAATCTACTCACTTATGCACTGCGATGCGATGCCGGCAGCTTCTTATGGTGAGATGAGCTATGGCTATGCCTACATTAGCGCCAAGTAGTACCGTTAGCCAGCCGCGCCACCAGCCGAACAGGTAGCCAGCGGTTATCAGCAGCACAAGGTAGCCCACGGCAACGGGGAAGCTGACAAGTGTGAAGAGCGCCATGAAGATGATGAAGATAATCCAGTGATTCTGCGTTTCGATCCAGAAGAGCAACTGCTTGGCATAGTTGCGCGTCAGGTAGCCAACGACGAGGAAGAGACCCAGCAGAGCGATGGGCACCAAATAGCTGAGGTACCAGTTGCGCATGATGAATGCGTGCGCTCGCAGCCAGCAGGAATTGCGGCGTAAATAGGCGGCGCAGGAGGACGAGGAGGAGGAGGAGGCGGAGCGAGTGTGATTGCGCCGATTGCTGGCGCTGCTGCCAGCGCTGGGATTCACAATGAGAAACGCATCACATTCGCTGCTCTCCTCAATGGCATTCTCCGCACAGCTGTTGCCATCGGCTGTCGTCAATGGAATACCCAAGTCGCAGCTGGCGCTGGCGTTGGCTTCCAGTGGAAAACGTATGCTTGTGCCGTCGTAGCTGTTGCTCTTTATTAGCTGCGGGCAGTTGGCGGAAACGGCGACTGAGCCTATTCCGTGTATCAGGGAATCATCCATAGTTGAGTTTTGTTTGTATTTGTGCATGTTGTTGGCATATCTGAAGTTATTTTTGTTGTTATTTATATTACTAATGTTGTTGTTGTTGTAGTTAAGCTCCAGTGTTCCAATAGAGGCGCTCATTTTTCAGGCTTGGAATGTGCCCAAAAAAACGTAGCATTTACAGTTGTTGTTTGTATATCCCCTTTCTTCCCCCTTTCGCACAGCTTATTGCCTCTTCATTTTCTCTTTCACTTCGCATTGTTTTGCTGCTGTCACTCCAAGAAATTTCACTTTTACATGCATGTGTATATATGTATGCGTATATGTTATAAATAAATAGATAAATACACAACTCGCAAATAGGCCGCCAACGAAAAAGCTGATGCCCTTTTTCACTCATACACCGCGCATTCACTTAATTTACTTCAATAACAAATTTAACTTTTATATCTTTTAATTGAATTAAATAAAAAAAATACTTTTAAGTAAATCACTATAATTGGCTTTTTGGTATGAAATTCGAACGGGTTATTATAATTTTTAAAACAAATAATTTAAAATGCATTCACAATTTAATTTTAGGTCTACGAAGTTTTTGTTGCAAGTAGACAGACAAACGGCCTAAGCGCCAACACGTCCCACTACGTCAAAACGAAATAACAAACTAAAAGCTGCAGTGTGACCGCAACCCACAAGTACTAAAACCTCAAAAAGTACATAATATATAAATGGGCAAAAAAGAGGCGCCGAAGTTTGCATACTCTTTTTAAACAGATGGTAGAATATATATAGAGAACAATTTCAGTTAATTTAAAAGTTTATATACATATATTTTTAACATACACATATTATATATACATAAAATAATTATTATTTTCATTCCAGTTCCTGTTCGCTGGGTAGCTTCTTGGAGTTACGCGATACACTTGCTATGCTCACCTGATCCCGCAGAACCACAAGGCGGAGAAAAGCCAAATTTAACAGAAAAGCCTGCCCAAGCAGCTCCCTTTGATAACGCTCAACCTTGGAGTACATTGTGCGCAAATCTGAAGGAAACTGCACTTGATTTTGCAGATTACTCTGTTCGTCTTGATCTCCATAATCCTCCATATTATAGTACGTCCGCATCATGCCAAGAATTGTTTCCTCTGAGGAAACGCGTTCAGTTCCCACCAGATGATTGAAAAGGCGCGCGGTGAGAAAGCGACGAAGGTAAAAGACGTTTGTTTTGTTCTCGCCAGGACTCATGCGCGCCATCAAGGCGTAACTTAGCATCGAAGTGACTTGCGCTTTCTGGATGTTCACATTCTGCTGGTCAATGCTGCCGGGGTTGCTGCTGGCCTGTGCCATTTGTGGGTTCTCCAGGACATAGCAATCAGCTTGGGGTATTTGATGAGCGACGTACA